AGAACATGGCTAATAGTCTACAATCCCAGTACTAAGTTAACTTACAACAAATAATTTTGTTATTATTATAAGAAATACCAAAACAATAATTGCTATTAAATTCTTTTACAAGCCAGTTCAACAATCTTATTGTATTAAATTCTGAGAGATCTACTGATTTTAAATATAAATTGTCCTTAATTTACCTAGCAATTTTACTAGAGCATTTTAATGTAGCATATAAAATTAACATGAAAATGTCCTTAATTTAATTTATACAATTCCTGTGACCTAATTTCCAGAACGTTAAAGATAGGTAGGTAGCTGTACAAAATTACAAAAGAGACTCAATTTCCTTAATTTTATTTAAAGAGCAAAGTAAATTCGATTATAGTACAATAATGGTATAAAGTTTGAAATGGTAAAAAGCATTAATTACGGTAATTCATTATAATTATCAATCCTATCAACGGGATTCTATTATCAAGTATTTAATTTTTTTAATTTTTGTCGTAATATTGAATCAATTATTTGCAATATCTTCATTCGCTATTGTTAAATTAGTCATGATTTCTGGTTCGAATTTAGATTACAAATTATGAGCATTCTCGTTATTTATTCGTTAAAGGCTATCGATGAGAACTAGGTATCAGTACGTACTGATTTTAAGTATCGTCAAACTATTTTCATTGAAATACACTCAGGAAAACTATCTTATCCAATCAGCATTTAATAAATAAAATGTTAAACTCTTACAAGAAACAGGTTAACACTAATACCTTAGAATGAGTCATAAATTCTCTCTATAAGTTAACTAGACTATTTTAAATTATCTGTATGAATTTTTCTTAGCTTACTGCTCTATACAGCAGGGAAAATGATATGTGATATAACTGTTAAAGACTACAATTTTCACTTATTATAGTAGCACTATGAGATGAGACAGCTTAAAATCTATCAGTATTACTGCTATACCGATTTGCCGGTATTAATATCTAGAATCAGTCTAGGGTCTAGGCTGTATTTAACTGACTGTATTTTTCAATGTCTACAGCATACTGCCGAACAGTTACTGATAGTAGACAGGCTAACTTATGGATAAATTGTTTATTTAGCCGCATCAGAAAATCTAGGATAGAATCTTCTGAGCTTGTGTAATTAATTTGCTCAATTGATTTGAAGTAGTTTAAAGTGATACGTCATTAACTAGACACTTTCACTTTATGAACCGTGAAAATTTGAGATATTGTAGTAATTCAATGAATAAGTTACTAAGAAGTTAAAGAAATGGAGAGAAAATAGCTCCTGAAAAACCAGGAATTAAGTAACAAATCGTGATGTGCTAAAATTTTCTTTTGTTGTTAGTTTGATTGGCTGCATCGGGTATGCCTACTCTTGTTTTTCTTTGATACTTTCAGTTTTAATCTACGTATGTTTTAATTGAAAAATTTACTTCTTAGCTGGGTGCAAAATTACTATGACATTGCTTAATAAATGAATTAAAGTTGTTTATTCTTAATTTATTTGAGTGATGGTATTTTTATGTCAAAGCGTAGTGAAAATCAAATTTTTATTGTTACGAATTATAGTGATGAACAATATTAGCACAGATTTGTTTTCTAGTTCTCGAGAGCTATCTATGTTTACACTCTAAAGTCATGCCGGTAATTTAAATTTTAGTCGTCTGATCATTAATTAATCAATCGAGAAATAGCTCTACTGTCATGGATCTGCACATTAATAATAGTACATTATGTCGTATCTCTCCATTCTATTAGAACGAAAGTAATCAAAAAGATGTAGATAATAAACGGTAATAACATTTAAAGTGGCAGTTGCAATTCTTTACTGTAATTCACAGAACTTGTTCTGCCTATGTACTCCAGTAAATCAGTAAACTGAACGATGTATGTTAATGATTCTTTATTTACAATTAAAGCCTCTGCTCTTTGAATGAAATCACATAAACCTATCCTACTAGAATTCGGAACTGCAAGCTACGCGTTGCGTTCTTGCATGTAGTCTAGCGGCCGTTCGACTGCAGGTTATACAGTGCCAATGCGATGTTTGGTTACATAAACTTAATTACATGTCTCAACAAAGTAGTCTCTCTATACCGAATCTAGTAGCAATTTATACTAAGGCTATGATGGGTATTATACCCATTTGTAATACCTATCCTCAATATAGAATTACAATAGTGGGGTCTAAGTATAAATTTTTGATTTTATCATACATTTAAGCCAATGTAATACGAATATAAATTATCTGTAGACGTTACTATCATAAATTGACTGCCGTCCGTAATTTATTTCCGTTATGATTAATTTTTTCAATTGCAAATGTGTCTAGGATGTAAATTGAAAATTATTTACGTAAAATTTCGCCCCTACATACGTTGTATAAATACAATTTAATGCCTTATTTCTAAGTAAAAATAGCCTTAAGATACCAGTAATAACCGTATGAACCGTTTCAAAACTATCCGGAAGTTATGCAATGGTGGTTAAAATTATTATAAATGTACCATTCTTATTTTTTTTATAAATCTACAGCAGCTGTTTTCAATAACATTGCCATTTCTTATTTTGTGATATATGAAGTATTTAAGGACAAACGCTTCCGCTAGCCAGTATAACAGTGACAAATCTGAAATAATAAATGAATAAATAGAGGGTACCGTGGCTATATTGAATCTTGAATATTTATAATCATTTAATTGTATGTAATTTTGGATGATACCATAAATTTTTACTTATTTCCTAAATACACCCTTAAAGTGCTGGCAACCAGATATTGCTTGTACACTTAAAATATTGCCTGCATACTTATAACATTATGCATCGCATACGATTCTAGGCCGGATCTTGTATAACGTTAGGGCTTTAATTTGTACGCCGCAATCTAGCTAAGTGTATTTACGTAGCCGTAACTTTGAAAATGTAAGCTTAACCAAGCAATTAAAAACTATATTTAAAACAATTAACCATTTATTAGCTTTTCCATTCCATTGGTAGGCCTACGATCAACAAAAAGATCAGATTTACTAACAATTAAAATATAATTGCGTATATATCTATTAACTTTAAAACCGATCTTACTATAGCATTATAATAGTAATTTAAAATAAGAAAATTTATACGACGCCTATCTTATACCCAAATCACCAGCTATCAATTTAATTGAAGTTCTTAGAAGCTGCTAATTCACATGATAATTTTTTGTATGGTAATTAACTAACAAGTCAAGCCTTAGCAATTGCTAGAGTGAAAAGAAATTTTAATGTGGGATTTACTACCTATACAAGCTAAGTATGTTTGCGATAAAAATCTGCTATCAGAGTTTATAAATTTCGAATAAAATAGCATTATAGCGCATTATTAAATTAAATGAATAACTAATAAATGTTTTTATTAATGAAGTATTTGGAATAAAAATGATAAAACATTGACATTTTTCTGACCGTAACGAGCTGTTTAACAATCGTAGAGCTATTTATTTGATTTAATGATGAACAAACACGCTTGAATAATTTATTTCCTTTCATATATATGGTTGAAAGCCCATTCTATAATAAATATTAAAAAATAATAATCCCTCTCTTGATTAAAGGGATCAACTGATAGAATAAAGCATTAAGCATACTTTTAACATTCAGAAAATTTTTTGAAGCAAATTTTACTATCAGAATATAAATTAATATTTATTATAATGATTGTCAATCGTGTTTGTACTATATTTTTACTGGCAAATTTAAATAGAAATTTCCCATATCCAAAGCTTTTGAAAAAATAATACGGTACTATTTTAATCTGTCTTAATTTTCACTTCCATCGAAATTCCATATTAACTTCTTTTAAATATCGATAGCTGAAACTTTTCCACATTCCAGCATTCAGTAGAATATATATTAAATATAAGCCCTTATGATTGGAATAATAATCAAATTCATGTCTACGCATATGAGTATGACATAAAAAGTGTGCTAGATAGTACAGTTTACGACGTTATTATTGCAGTCAGCTACTTGAATGTAAGCATACTTACATTAAAAACTTTAGAATCTATGGTAATTAAAATGCGCTTTAGAGAAAACAAAATGCAATAAATCTCTTAAATCAGCACCGTGAAACATAAAAGCCTATTGGACAAACTAAGCACTAAATATTTTTAATCTATTTTCTTTATTAAAATATCTATTTTAAACTCTTTTATTTCAAAAAAACAAATAAAGTTGATGAAAAGATTAATTAGACAATGACAATTTTACTTTGTTCATAAATACTAAACTAATTCACTTCCTAATCAATCTCATTTAGATGATCGGCCATTGGTATTTACTTACACAGCTATAAACATAAATGGGTCTTTTCAGAACTATTTTGATAATAGCAGTGAATAGACCAGACCTATGAATGTCATTAATAAAATAGGAAAGGGTATCTTCAAAATCTGTCTCAAAGTACCTTAATGCTGATTAGTGTAGCTATAGAAAATAACAAATCTATTACCAACTTGGCCATAAGGCTTAATATATCTAATAATAGATTTGAATGAATTGAGCTTAAGAGCTATTGCCAGAACCATTTATGCTAGTGAACATGGCGTACTTGAAGGAGTAGTAGATCCTGGGAAAAATATCATTAAGAGTTTGTATTCTTCGTTACCTAAAGCTGCACTGGCTATCACTTGCCCTCCATTACAGGCTTATTGTATTTCAGCTAATTTACAGCAACTGCTAAAATCGATGCATGGGAAAGATTACCTTTATAATCTTAGAATAGAGAAACAAATAGGAATAGAACTATTCCTAAGTGAATAAAGATTTTTGATTGCACCCTTACATATATGGTAACTTTATGTATTTAATTCGTTAAACAAGATGCTGTTGACCATTATCTTTCGTATTTTTATTTGGTAAGAGGTCAAGGCAATTTAATTGAGTATTTTCCAGCTAATGTATTGGTAGGGTTTTAAAATTATTATTTAAAGTATTAAATTAATAACTATCAGACCTGGAAATGGGGAATATTTCAAGCAATGGAACTAATGGGACTGCAACTTATTCTGATGTATTCCGATACGCCGGCATAGCAGCTAGTCCTTTATCAGCCATAGGCCTATTAGCCAATTTGTTTATGCTTATGGTCCTAAGTAATCGGTTTCACTTTAGCAAAACGACATATAATTTAATACGGGTCTCAGTTATATCAGATAGCATTTCATGCTTCACATCGGCAGCATGTTATATCTTGATGGTCGTATATAGATTAGATGTTAACGACGGCAGAATCGTTTGTCGTACGATTATTTTTACAACAATGACATCCTATGGAATATCAATGATGACCTTGGCAATTATAGCTATTGATCGTTACTTCGCTGTTGTTAGGCCGTTTTTATCAGTTTATCATTCTAAAAAATCACGAATTATTTTATTCAGTGAAATTCAAGTTTGGATTATATCAGCAGCTGTATGTGTGCCCCTCTTATTTTATGTTAATGTCTACCCTGACGATCCCATATTTTGCGATTTTCCTGAAGTTACTTTGAATAAATCAATTTACCTCTTTGTATTTACACTTATATTATATTTTATACCATCAACCGCGATAATAATTACATATTGGAGAATTATTATGCATCAAAGGCAAAGTATTCGGCCAGGTTACATTAGTGACGAAAGACGCTATCGTGATGAAACTAAGAAGAAAAAATTTATTGGTGTTCTTACTAGCATTGCCTCATCTTATCTGTTGACTACTTGGCCATTTTTTGTCGCAATTTTGAGCATGGCTATAAAGCAAGTCTCCGGTCGAAATTTGGTCAAAAACAATCTTACGCTCTTTCTTTTATTGTTTTACTCTATGACAGTTACACTTAGTATTACCATTATGAGTCCATTCTTATACATTAAATTTGATAAAAATATTAGAGCTGAATCTTTCAGGATTTTTAAGCGTTGCTGTTGCAAGTCTCTTTCTGAAAATAATTCAGTAATTTTAATTTCTAGTGCAAAACATTATCATTCAGATCATCTGTCTCCTATAGTGACAATCAAAGATTCGAAACTTAATTAAGATTTAATTTTCTTAGTAATGAAACCTGTTTTAGTGGATATTATTTATATCACTATCATAATTATGCAATAAGATCTTATTAACCACCTATATTATACCCTACGATCATTTTCATTGATAACATACTTAGAAAAGATATACAGTAATTGCATTGACCAGTAAACGTAATACTGCTGTATTAGCTAACAAAATCGATATTAAAGGTTAACATCACTTGAAACGGTATATCGTTACATTATATAGTTCTTAAAAGGTAATAAAAGAAAATTGAAGTTCATTAATTTCATCAACATTTAACCTTACACTTGAGCTAGTAACAATTTAATGTAATGAGTTTGGCGATATAAATTGAAATAACACATTAATTATTTAGAATTAACGTAGACTAAAAGTAAGAAACATTATGAATTCAGTAATAACAGATAATCACGCTTAATTCTTTCGATATTAAAAATACTCATAGGAAATCTTAGCCCTCTTTGGTGATTAATTTTATTACATCATTGATATTTATCAGGCCGTGTATATGTTGTAATAGCTAAATTTATCACACTCTAAACAATAAATTATTCATTGGTTAAACTCCAGATCTATTTATTAACTGATCTAGAAAATGATTGATCTTTTATGTACTATTGCTACCCTTTTATGGTTTTATTACTTAAATTGTGATGCGAGTAGTATCCATACTAATCTAAATCTTATTTTACGATGAATGATAATTTTAGCAACATGTCTTAGTTAATTGTTATCAGTACATTTTAAATATAAAGTAACAGTCAATTTAATCATATCTGCATCCTCATTGGTAATCTAATATGGTGTCCTTAAACAAATGTATTAATACATCTTGAAGATTTCAGTCAAAAATAAATAATTAAGCTTATTTTATGGCCAATTGATGTTACTAACTAAATTGTTATCAAGATATTAGGATTAAGCATTGCTTAGCCAACTTACACTCAAATGTAAGTTTAAAGTTTTTAGGGTACCATAATTGTAGCTTTTGTGATAGTAATAGCAGTATTAATTTTAAATACAGAATGCGAGTGCTATTATATCACTTAAGTCTTGCTTGATAACTATTAATCATTCAATTTTATACCTTAACGTAATTCTATACAGCGTTTGTATTATTTTTGAAAAAATGAATAAATTACGATAAGAAAGGAACCATAAAATTAAATTATATGCTGTTACGATGCGTAATATCTGTGACGCTATAATTATACTATAGTATTCGGTCGTTGGAACTGAATTATTTGGTGATAAAGCTAATCTCGCCTCTTAAGTTAGTAAGTGGCGTTCTCCGCAAGGATTGGCGTGTGTAGACTACTTTGTCACTAGTGGTGTGTGACATATGCATCTACTATTCTTTACCCAAATTAATAGTTTAATATCATTGGAAACTTAACGAAAGGTTAAATATTTCAATTAAGCTATTATAAGCTAAGAATTTTAAAGAAGGGTAATTATTATTAGCAAGATAATCTATTCAGTAAACTCAGAATTGTGTGAAGTTAGTGAATTACAGAATAAAACTACAAAAATTTAGTAGTAGTACTAAGATCAAAGTATCTAACAAAATTTGTATCGAATTTTTTGATATGTGAGTATTACGCGCAGTAGCAAACAAAATTACGATCTATGTGAATATGCACACATACCTTCAAGGAAAGCCGCTCATTCAGGGATAGACAATTTGAAAGTCTATAAATTAGACTAAATAAGCCACTTTATTTCCTACTTTACTTAATGCATCGTATATACTGTAGGATCATTAACCTATAATGGCTTAATAATTGGATCTTTAAAGTCTATTGTCAAGTGAAAGTTAGCTATCATATAATAGGAAATTCATTAATTGCAACGAATATTTCGGAATGCAATAAGTAAATGTTGCCTTTAATAAGGTAGTATTACGATTAATGAATATAAAATAGACCGAAATAACTTCGTTATAAAGTTAAAGTGCAAGCATAAAGTTATTGTTTAAGAGTGTGATAGATAAATTTGTTGCGAAATCTATAATAAAAAATAAGATCAAAAATTCTGAAGCATTGTAATAGCCTGACAATAATAATAGTATAAAATAAGTAGAGTTGATAATGATTTCATATTGAGATATGCTCGTATAAGTGATAAATTTCTAAATTAATGTTGCAGTAGCACGATATAAAGCAGCAAAATAATTATCGTATATATGAAGCATTTATACTAGTAATCAGATAATAATATTGCTTGCATATTAAAGCTATTAACTTGAATTAGGTACCACAGCCTATTACTATTTTTAATTGGAATAATGTATATTGTTATTATTAATTGGCTTCAATGAACCATCAGTTTTTGTGTATGATTTGAAGAAAAGTAGTTATTGTTTACCTTCTCTGAAATTACAGTTTAGAATCAAAAATGAAACTAGCTTTTTATCAGGAAGTTTGATTGTACTCAAATTTCAAAATATTAGACTGCTATATCTATTACATTTCATTTGCCCCAGTTACGAAATGAGAATTTCATTAGTTATGCTGATACACTTTTTGTAGTATAAGCTTACTACAACTTTGACTTATTCTGTTTGACTATAGTAGCACAATCACTTAGGCATAAAATTTGCTGAGTGTAAGGTCTTAGAAGAGGTTATAGATAAAATAGTTGACAGAATACGTTTCTGATATATTATCATTTGCTATTAATTAGTTATCGGCAGCTATCTTATTTATAAGAACGTTATCGCATTCGTTGGTATTTTCAATATGCCGTTAGTAAACCTTTAACTTTGTTCGACTGTTTAACGGTATAGTAAGACAGTAAAGTTTAGTTCAATACCCTAGCTCTACTCGACTCGTCTGGAAATTTCTAGCGAATCTTCCTTGTTACAAAGTGGAAGAGTTTCTAAAACTTAACAACCCCTTTTTCTATCTTTTTACTTCAAAAGGGCAAAATACCAAATGCTTTAAGTCTACATTGAAAGAATGGTTCGACCGTTATAGAACATAAAGAAAAAATAAATACGATAGGTACCTTACGTAACATCAACACTTGGACGGATATAGACTGCGCACTCATATTGTAGTCATAGCCTAAATAAATGTATAATTGATTGGCTTTCATCGATAAGTCAATTGTTTGCTATCACCATTAATAAAGGTATAATGTCATACAATAATCATCTTTTCAATTTATGGATTTAAAATATATTTGTAAGGGGATAGTTACCGAAAAGTTAACTTACATGAAAACGTAGTAGCATCAAAATCCGAAAATAGCGTATTAGAGGTACGAATTATTACAGGAATACGAGTGTATTCATACTTATGCATAATAAACCTTATTGGTATTAAATATTTATGATTGTAAGTGTGAGAATTAAAATTTTCAGTACATTTTGATCAACTGCTTTTTTTGTATCAAATAAACTATTCAGAAAACATCAATCTTCTTCTTTTATATTGACAAAGATAACGTAAATCAAAATCTCAATACAAGTGTCGTTTGTGTTACATTTTTAAGACGATATTGTCACAAACCAGCTTCTTGACAAAGTTAACATACAACAATTCTCTAAATTACCGTAGTTTCCGCGATTCAGTATTGTTACAAGTACTGAAGTTGTTGTAGTGATAGTATCGCTAAGAGATGTCATACTGAATATGCTTCTTTATTAACAGTATGTTTCTGCAGTTATTCTGTAAGGATGCTGATTAGGACCTAGATAGCATATCTAGGAAAAATAAGTTGTTCTCTTATTGTAAACAAGATGAAGATTGACAGTAATATTCATAGTATGCTCATAACTGTACCTTAATGGTAATTGTCTCATATATATATGTTATATAACGACTCGTACTACATAATAATAATGTTAGTTCCGTACTTGAGCTCTATTGGATTCGTGATTATTCGGTACTCAAGCTCTACTGAATTATCAATTTATTATTACGATAAAAGACCAAGAGTAACAAGTATCCCTTACCTATCTCACAAGAATTTAGACGCCTTTGCTTCTTCGTTAAACAGCTATAGAACTCTGCTTTATTCAACTGTCTGCCGAAGTTAAATACCCTTCGGCAGCTGCTATGATGTTCACTCGTTGTACAGTATGAGTCGGAACAGTTCATGAAATTTAGTTCATATTGGATAGCTAAATTAATACAGAAATTATTCATAATCTTAGACATGTACTGAACGATTTTAGATAATTAGATTACAGTATGTCCATACACAGAATTATTTATAGTATCCTCTATAACTGAATATCTTAAGGATATTCTTCACAAGCGTTACAAGACGTAACGCTATAATCAAGTAACATTAGTTACCTTATGAGAACTCTTACTACAGTTGAGCATAATTTACGGTAACAAAATACTAATTACCGTAGTTCTTACAGTAAGTCATTATTAGTTATCTCCATATATAAATATTAACCACTAAATTTAGTCATTTACTCTTCACGGTGGTTTGTGTAATGATATCTTCTTTAAGTAGCGTAAAGTATTTTAAGGTAGACGATGATAGAAGGTATAAAGGATTTTATTGAGATACAAGTTACAGGCTAACAATGATATGGTTGTTATAGATAAGGTATTTGAGATAGCAGAAATGTAGGAACTGACTAACGAGTTAGCGTACAAGGGTATTTATAGGTTTTAGATGGGATTGAGATAATGTCTTTATATGTATAGCATGTCGTCTATATGTAGTCATGATGTCGTACATTATGAATGTAATACAATACAGTACTTAAACGGTATATGATAAGTATTCGTATATTAGGATATTACTATACTAGCCATCTTCTATATAAGATCATAATGTTACAGTTTGTACCATGACAGATACATCATCACATCGATTAATTCATGAAGATTTCAATAGCGGATCTTTACTTCAGCTTTTCTGGTTTTGCCAAAACGATGATTTAAACAGTTCTGTCTTCATTCCAAATGATAGACTGTTTTACTATATGACAGATCTGTTTATTTTAATTATGGTGATAGTAATAAGTTACCAGCAATTTGCTAAATCCATCATTTTGCAAAATGCTTCAAATGCTATCCAAAATTATGGCTGGCATTAGTCTATGTAGCAGTTTGAGGTACTGAGTGTACTGTCCCATGGTCTACCTAGTATTACAGTCTTCTTCTAGTAATTGATATGGAGAGAACGGTATAGACATACAATGTGTACCCGGTACAGTACCACATCACATCAAGCCTTTTCGCCACAATCCCTTTTAAGTAGGAACAGTACCGCTATCGGACGTCTACACCAGACAGTATCCTTGATACTGTATCACGAAACCATACCGAGTTACAGCATATAAACGTTCAAATTTTGCAAGGCTTAGCTGATTTAGATCATTGCATGGCATGCAATGACAATCTTGCAGTTTAAATTACGTAGTAAACTTACTTCCATTCATTGGTAAATTTACAGGAATCCGTTGTGGTTGTATTGAATTATATGCTATTCATTAACATTTGGAATTGTATAGAGTGTTTGCCAATTGGTAGTGATCTTAAACTGGAGTGAAATAACCGTATAAATTGAAAGGTTCAGCTGTAGATGATACAATTTGGAAATGGCTGCCAGGCTACCAGCTCATATGTCAGCGTTGCAGATACCGAAATTCGGATCAAATCAGGTTTTGCAACTCAATAAAAATGCAACAATTCCTGTGATTAAGAGACCTGATCAGTTGATAGTGAAGGTGTTGGCAACGTCCCTTAATCCGATGGATATTCAAATTCGAAATGGCTATTCCGCTAAATTTATACAAAGAATGACCCACAAAGAAGGAACATTTCCTCTGACTTTGGGTCGAGATTTTTCTGGTCAAGTTGTTGAAATCGGTTCTAGTGTCAGAAGGCTTCAAGTTGGTGATAAGGTAATGTTACAAAGGACTTAAAATGGGAAGTATTTGTATGAAATCAGCCAACAGTTACTAGCATTTCTAATATTTAGATAGTAATGAGATTATAACCAATTACCTTGACAGTAGCTACAATGTATTTATTTCTTTTATCTGAGCTAATTTCCAAATGTTTAGCTAGTTCCATCATTACCTCTTAACGTAGAATTCTTTCACTCATTGTTTTTACGTTTGTAATGTAATGATTGCAATTTTATTATACAAGTACACCATTATTCATATGCAGTATAATTTAGACCTATGTAATTAGATGGTCAGACGTCGAGAAGGATAGGTTGCTACTATTTTCGAAATTAAGGTGCATGTTGTATGATTTGGAATAGGTTTGGGGTACTTGCTTACCTTTTGGCACTGGAGCGCATGCAGCTTATACAGTAGCTACCCAAAATTCGGTAATAATCCTTGAATTGTAACTCTATTTTGCGCGATTGAGTCACAGAGCATCATATGCTCGTATTTATTTATACTGCATGAGCCCTCTAACAGCAATTTATTGCCAATCGTAATACCCTGCCTTCTAATAATGTAATGTAATGAAAGTCTTTAGCTGACTCATCGAATAATGTGATCATTTCTAGGTTGCTATCAAACCGGATTTTCTTTCTCATGTCGAAGCTGCATCAATACCCTTTGCTGGAAGTGCTGCCTGGGCTGGATTAGTAGGGCGTGCAAAAATTTCACCTACGAAATCATCGCGCAAAAAGTGAGTATCAATAAAGGTCAATTTCCTCAACATTTCTTCTTGTATAGGCTGTCTCAATTTATTCTTTTCGCGATCTAATTTTGTTAAAAAATGCTGTATTGCAGGGTTTTGATCCTTGGAGGATCAGGAGGTATTGGTACGATTGCTGTTCAGGTTGGAGTAAACTGGCGTTGATTATTATACATTTCTTAGTTTGCCACTACAATGCGTTCAATTTAAGTATACGTATTATCGCTTCTGCTAGATTTTATGCAAACTAGTTTGCAGAGACTGATATAGTTTGTATGGATATTTATTTCTAACGCTGCATTTTGTACGTAAAAGTAGCACTGGTAATTATAATCAAATGTATGCCTTCCTTGTAGGCGTATAGTATTTAATAAAGAACTTTAAAGAGTGGTTTGATAGCACTAGCTATTCTTTAGGGCCTTTAATTACAATTCTGTTTTTGCTAATGTACTAGAGTCTACCTAGAATGCTAATGCTATCCAATGATAATATGTATTTTCATAGATGGTCAAGGCTTGGGGAGGATCAGTAGTTACCACATGCAGTTCAGATGCCATGGCTTTCATGAAGTCTTTAGGAGCGGACATTACCATTGATTACAGATCAGCAAATGCCTGGACTGATATCGAAAATGAGGGAAAGTATGTTTCAGAACCTAATGGCTCTATCTTAATGTATAAAAATGACATAGCAGTGATTAAATTTTTAATCTCACTTTTCATTCCTAGATATAATGCCATACTGGACTTAGTTGGAGAAAGCGAGGATAAAGCTGTGCATTTAGTAGCTAAGCGGGGATATTATGTAACCCTTCATAATCCACTAATTCAATTAATGGAAGACTTAGGCGTACTTAAGGGTGCAATTCGAGGGAGCGGCATCCTACTTCGTAAATCTTTACGACAAGTAAGTGTTAGGAATAATTTATCTTTAGGTAATCATGTAACAAGTTCAATTCTCAAGGAGTATTTCTAATTATTTCTATTTAAATAATTATCCATTAGAGCTGGAAATATGGCAGTAGCTATAATTGGTTTTATCCTGTAGGCAATGGGGCTGCATTAGATAAACTTGCGGTATTATATAAAGATGGAAAGGTTTGCTTCGGCTTTATAACATTGTTAAAATTTCACATTAACGATGCTACTATTATTTGAATATTTAAATCCTAAAATTTTTCAGATAAAGCCAGTAATAGAACGAAAATTTTCCTTTGAGGATATAATAAAGGCATATGAAGTATTTGAGACCGGTCACGCTCGTGGTAAAACAGTCATTACTTTATCGAATGCTGATTGATTCACTACTTGGAATAAAAGAACTCAAAGAAATAGTTGATAATCATTACGAATTGGTTTGGCAATTACTAAACAGCTTAAAATTCTTTAGGAAATGCTTTCAAATACATAGGTGCTGCAATTTTCTTTATTATAGCTAATTATGAAGCTGTTTACTTATTTTGTCACAACACCTAAGCGACAATTACAGTTGCTTTAAATCTATGTAATTTAAATTCAGAAGGAGCTATTCCGTGCCTTCAGAGTACAGCAAATATCGTACAAGGGGAGGAATGTTTAAATTAAATTCTATTTAGATTCCTTTACTGCCCATAGTTCATGTTGTCAAGATTGTAGCGAGAGATGCTATCGACTCAATAGCAATTATGGAGGAAACTATGGAATAATTGATGTCATCTAGTGAGAATATTTAGCAGAATACTAGTACAATCCATGTACTACATTTTTATCAATCTTTCAAAATAAAGCTTGAAAAATTTAGTCAAGATCATCTAAAATAAGCCGTTTTGTATAAGCAATTATTACTTTGCCTCAACTATTTCGAAATTTTGATTTACAGTAAATATCATCGTAAAAACCTTATCGGTGCACGCAACATAATTCAATACAATTTTTAAACAATTTTTATGTCTCGTCGATAAATCGAAATTGATGCAGTAGCGGAAATAGCTAAGATGCAAGATCGGTAAAATTGGTTCATCCATGTTTGTTATAATTAATCCTTTATCAGTGCGGTTTAGATTTTACGGCCGGTAAATGGTACAATGTACATTACGTATAAATCACTCCATGAAACCGTTCAACTTTGCGACCTAGACTTCATGCATTGCCATACATGAAATATAACGAGTGAGCTATTGACTATTTTTGGATGAGACTTGATAAAATAGTCTGAGAGACGATCTAGTACCTAGTTATCTGTTGTTTTAACTTGTTTACAAGCGCTCAGGGACATATAGTTAGCTAGCTACTTTAGTGCCTAGCTCAATCAGTAGGGCGATTGAGAAATCTATTGGTGATCCATTTTATAGTATTCTTTAGTCGTTTGTGTTGTAATCGTAGCTGCAACATCTCAATTACTTATTTCTGGGAGAATAGCAGAAAGGACGCAAGGTAGCGAGCGTGATCATTCAATCCGAATGATGAGCTATTTCGTCATCATTCGCCTAATACATCACAGTACGTAGTGCTAGCTTGCAGTCCATCCGTACTTCCATGGGTTACCCAACTTGCAGATAGTAAAGTACCAAGGACGTTACTAAATACTGTTTTAGTAGCAGTCAGTCAGTACAGTTCTGGTGATTGACTAGAGAAGTTAATGTTAGTACTGCTATAGTAACGAAGCCTTAACGTCCGAGAGTGATTGAAGGCAAGTTGTAAAACACTGCTCATATAACGGGGAATTGCAGCGCTAATCGACTCGATTTCATCTCTATCATAGCAACATAACTCAGGTAAGCCTTTGGCTTGTTTGTAGCTAAATGATATATACTGATTTCTTAAGATGGCGTTGGCTACTTGACTCCACACTACGGTTTACGGCTCTTGAGATCATATATCCGATCGATTTATCCATAACAAATAGTTTTGATAAATTCGATCAAACGCTTGAAATGCAACTCCTGTAGCTATCTAAATCCTCAAATCCATGCTACTACATTGATTACATCTCTATTGTATAAGGATAGCAAAAATTAGGCAAACCATGAACTAATCTATCATTATTGTTGATTTCAAAAATGCCACGAATATCTAAATAATATTGCAGTACAATTTCTGACTCTATCTCCATGTTAACAGTTTTGATCCCAGCGAGATAAGGCTTTATTAGAAATTGGTTTCGAAACTGTAAGTTTCCACTCTGTGATACCATAGCTAAGATTAAGAACAAAACCCTAGGTCGTTCATGAAATGGGATTGCCTGCATTGAATAGGGTCATAGTTCTATAACATTGCTGTGTTTTATTTGCAATTAATTTGTAGTACAGAAATAATTATTGCCTTGCAAAAAATGTTAACAATTGCTAAGCGTAATGTCGTTACCAACACAGACTAGTACACAAAATCGGTGTTGTTAGTGTATGAAAATAAGCAATTGATCAAAGTATTAGTTTGCCTTACATGCGATAGTGCATTTTGAAATCCTCTACGATACTTAATTCATCCTCTCTAATAACGATGCAGTTGCTTACAATCGCTCACAATCAATTCAATAACTGCCCAGTGACGCTCATGATTAGGGTATATACTTTTACATTTTCTCTATCTAGGTACATCTAGTAGTCCATGATTAGAGTCATAAAGTCAGGATTTATATGATTTACATGATTAGGATTAAAAGTAGCTAATCGTTATTTAATCCCAGACCTTCAGTAATCTGTAAAGGCTGATGGGAATTCGTATTCATATTGTGCTTCGCAAGTTACTATGGTGCACTGCCAAGTAGAGTACTGTATTCTTAATTATGAAATTTTTATTCTTATTTACTTCCTTATGATGATTTTCTATGTACTGTGTATTGCTTATAGTGCGACGTAAACAAAAGTATTGGATTCTCTGCACTATTGCAGCCTTTCATCGACTATTTTGGCTACGAAAAAAGTGGTAATGGCTAGGATTATTACAAAACTTCCAAAAAGTATGAGAGCTTGGCAAATATCCTCATTTGGAGATAACAGTGTTTTGCAACTAAATGAAAATGCAAATGTGCCGTCAATCAGTCGGCCAGATCAATTAATAATTAAGGTCCGTGCCTGCTCGATGAATCCCGTAGACATTTTAATGCGCCAAGGATATGCCAACAAGTTAATTCATGCCAGCTATGGAAAACAAGGAATCTGGCCATTGACGCTAGGACGTGATTTTAGTGGTGAAATTGTTGATATTGGCAGAAGCGTTAGAAGATTTAAGATTGGTGATCAGGTTATAAACCTTGCTAATCAATACTAACTCTTAAATTCTATCTTATGCATAGCACCTTATTTATAATCCCGTATTCAGTAGCAATAATCAATTAATTAAAAATAACAAATCGTCAACGTTATTATCCGGAAATGAATCAAGATGATTTGGATGCAAGGGGCTCTGGTGTAAGTATACAATTTATGCTATTTTTGCAGGTATGGGGTACATGCCAACCTTTTGGTCCTGGATCCCACGCGGAATATACCGCAGCTTTGCAACATGAGGTAAAATGAGTCCTGACCGCCTTCGAAATGGCCCGATAAATGTTAAGATATTCAATATATTTGATAAAAAGGTTGCTTCAAAGCCCAATTCCCTATCGCATATACAAGCTTCTTCTCTACCTCATGTAACGGTCACCACATATGCTGCTTTAGCTAATCGAGCTGGTCTGAATGCAACAAACACTATGGGGAAAAGGTCAGTACCACTTAATATCGGTGTAGATATCTAGCATCTACTTTTCCAATGCTAGCCATAATCCTAGCAATGATCAGTAGTTCTGCATCAAAGTAGCTTTTAATCTATTGCGTGTTACTCTGAATACAACGAATATCCCTTTGAAACGTTTGTTAATTATAAAGAGTTTTAATTCTTGGAGGTTCAGGAGGCGTCGGTACTATAGCAGTCCAGGTATGTTAGCTATTAGACTTGTGTTATATTCGAAAATTTAATTGTTTCTTATTGCAATTTTTGCATTATCTGCAAGTTAATTAAATGCTGGGGTGGTACTGTAGTAACTACTTGCAGCAATGATGCCGTTGAATTAATGAAGTCGTTAAATGCTGACAAAATAATTGATTATCACTCTGAGGATGCATGGAATGAAATGAAAGAGCATGGCTTGTATGTTTGGCGTAATGGCATCCATACTCATTCTTAACGCATTTAATAATTAATGGGTTTCTCAATGTTAATTGATCATCTCTAGATATGACGCCATTTTTGACACAGTCGGAGGCAAAAATGAAAAGCATGCTCTGCCCTTAGTAAACTCTAAAGGAACTTACGTCTCCATTCAAACTCCAATTGTTAAGAAAATGGATAAAAGAGGTATTGCAGCAGGGGCAGCAATTAGTGGCGTCGAGTTTGTGAAAAATGCATTGTTCCAAGTAAGTTTAAAATAAATTTATTTTGCTCGTTCAATATTAAGTAGCTAACTCGACGCTACCTTTAAAATTGGAGAACTTAAAGCGTGATAGTTGCTACAGTTGGGCTATTGGATTCGGGAATGGCTTGGCACTTGAAGATGTTACTTCACTGATAGATAACGGAAAGGTTTTGCGCTATTTATTTTTAGGAATATTTTATAGAATAGCACTCATGGCATTCTTCATAGTTTTCATTGAGACCCTAATAACTTTATTAATTAATGAATTACAGATTAAACCGATAATTAAAAGAGTATTCAATTTCAATGAAGTTCAAGATGCTTATGAATATCTGGAAAGTGGTCACGCTCGTGGGAAAATAGTCATTGATCAAAGTGGAGATTAAATGTAAAATTGTAAAAGTAGTACTGTAACTAATACTTTTGATATTATTTCCGATCAAGCCTTAAATATCCTATTTTATATATATATATAACATATATATTATTATTAGCGCTAACGTAGAATTACTCATAATCACTGTAGGTTATTTTGCGATATGAGCTGGAGAGTAGTTTATCCTATATCAACAGATATAATTTTGTCCGTGACTGCATATGTCTTTCTCTAGCTTCAACTAGAGGATGTTTCTACTTTACCAAACTTTAGCTAGTTTTGAACTTTGTAAATTTACCATTACTTATTAATGAAATTACGTCACTTAACTAAGCATTAGATGAATTTTTTACTTTATTAGTACTGGAGTATGCTTTTCTCGCACGTTCTTACAACTGTACGATTTGCTATACATTGCTACATCTTTACTGTAATTAATATGGATTTTCGTTTATTTAGTGCAGGAATACATGGAACACTACAAACGCCACAGCTAGCGCTAAGTCTCAAATCCATGATTTGCTTCCTTCATTGCCGTAGTTTTTGGATAAACTGGCGTATTCGTTTGCAAAGCTAGTTATTGATAATTCGTAAGATGCTTTAATACTTAATGTATGAAAACGTGGACTAAATTAGTTATTGAATATTGTGTTGAACGAATAATGCCACTATGACTACCGCTGATTGGTTAACATTATAACATAATGATTCTAAGAAGTAGATAACCAGTAGCCGATACTGTATATGGAAGCTGTATCATATTTAAGAGAAAATTAACGAATTTCTTAAATAATGAAGACGTGTTTCTTCATACCAGTTCATTTTTCTTATGAATTGCAATTAAGTTTGATGAATCTGTAAAATTTCATTATTCGTAAATGGCAAATTAAAGTTTGATGAAGTGTGTACTTTATTCCCATTATTGCTTAGTTTTTGTAAAATGATACAGTAATGGACACATCAGTAGTTTATCAAGGCATTGATCATTCTCTATCATTATCATCTTAAATTAATGCCAAATATGGTATTGTCGTTAACACCGACGAGGGGAATTTAAATAAATGAGTATCAACTTGCTTATGGTTGATCGGCTAATACAGCAATCTGTAATTAGTTTAAAATGTTGATATGAATCAGGTCCTTCAATAAGCCAAGGATTTACAGTTACCTCTGTTTGTCAATAATTACTATTACTATTGTATTTAGTTAAGGTGTTCGATGATTTGAAAGTAATCATTGCCGATACCCGCGTAACATACATGAAATTACATGCGTCATCCATCTCTATAATTTATCGTACTGTGATTACTTTTAAGTTATTTAAAGCCCAGTAAATATGCAGTAGTCAATTGATATTAAATACCATATAATATTAGGTATGATCTTACTCCAATTTCTAAACTAGTCATTCCGTTAAATTTATATTGATAGTTATATATCCGTGCACGTACGTACGAGGAAAATGAAATGGAATTTGCACTAAAAACTGAAAATGATATATAATTGTAGTAGTAGGGCATATACTACTACCATGATTACAATTGTAATTTAAGTAAGTAAATATGGTAGAACGTATTTTAAAGATATTGTTTAGGCTGTTAAGAATTACCGTACGTTAACGAAAATACTTGCATAGGACCTATGGTTATCATAGTTCAGTTTTCTAAATCAATGTATCCAGAATGATATATTCCGTGCTTACTAAACTTCAAAACTCTAATCTCGTAATCCATATCTTGCAAAGTGGCGGACCCATTCTAACAGATACATAATACAGAAAGGTTCCTTTGCGTCCAATTAAATATGCATGTAATTATCGGTGAGAACGAAATTAGTTTGTCAAGGCCTTATAATACGTTAGATTACATAACTCAAGATATTCATTAAATCGGCTGGTATTTATTATCTGGATGTTCATACTACTCGAGCTTTCCAGATTTGATTTTCCTTGCAACAAAAAGTCACGGTGCACCGTTACCAAATAAGTAACTGTTAATTACTGAATAGTTAAATATGGCTATATGTCGTGTGTGTGTGTCACGGCACGCCGTTACCAAATAAGTAACTCTTAATGAACAGTTAAATAAGGCTATATGTCGTGTGTGTCACGGTACCCCGTTATCAAATAAGCAATTGTTAATTGATGAATATTCAAATAAGGCTATATGTCGTGTGTGGTAGCTTGTAGCTATCCTAGGATGAGAATATTGACGTACATATTTAGTAATATATCATAGTGATAACGCTAACTGAATTCTCACTAGTTGACACTGGAACTCATTATAGAAATCTATTTAAGCACGTGTATTTATAGAATAAATTAGTAGTTGCTCAAGAATGGTGCAAGACTCTTATAGTGAAGAAAAGTGTAATATATTCAGTTATCTGCGGAGTTCAGTTGGGAAATCGAGTTCGCGTATATCGCTAACGTAGAAACTGGAGATACTGGGAGAAGTAACTCGAGTTATTATACTTGCACGAGAGATTCTTTACTTTGTTAATAAACGTTTCCTTTGTCACCAAGAGAGGGTTGTGACGCAGGGTCACGTTCAATAATTATTGCGAAATAATTTCAATACAGATATTAAGTGCGTCTGCGGAATGTAGAATTTATGTTATCATATTGCTAGCGAAAAATATGCACAACACTTTAAGCAGTTCCAGCAGAAGCACAACATATGCTCCAAATGAGATTCGAGTTTTAGAGTTATTAAAGTACGAAGCTGCACATTTAATATGTTTCTACAAAACAAAACACAAACATTTCCAATAATATTCTGGGTTAATTTAAATTTTATGATGCAATTAGTGTCGTAAATTAGTTATGAGCGCAATAATGCAGAATTTCAAAAATATATTAGCTGCCTGTGAATGAAACGAGATAAATATATATATGATTCAAAAATAGAAGTCAGTAGATGCAGTTTCCGTGGCGCCAGATGTATTATGTCGGGCAGCAGAATTTATTGTTATCGGTGACTCTCAATAGCTAATTCCTTATATTTCATTCTCTATAAATAGAAAATATTTTAATTATTTACGAACTTCCATAACCAACAATCTACGGACTGAAACTTCTTGTTATTGCGGTTCGAGCAAGGCAAGCTAATAATCTCTTTTAGGTATTTATTCATAAATTCATATACAATAAAACAATTAATAACAAAAGCAGCAGTGATACTAAGGAATTGAAAGTATTTCTAAACAAACTGTAAGTTTGTTTAGAAATAATTAGAGATTTCCTTTATTCTAAACTCTTAGGTAACGGTTATAAGTTACAACCTTAGAATTTGAGATAGCGCGAGTTCGTTTCTAATATATAACTGCATACTAGCTATTTCTATTCAGAAGTATGATGATGATATTATTGTTGCAGTAATTAATTTCCTATGAACACTTTACATTTATTAGATACATGTAGAAGTTGATATGTAATGTATAATTAAATTATATTTAGTCTTTATTATTTGTCAACACCCAGCATGGTAACGATTAAAAGCTTCTTATAATTTAGATACAAAGTCAATAGCCACCGCTATGATTATTATTCCCTAAATACAGCTGCACCATATTTCATGAAAAAATTCTAGTTCCGTAGTAAAATCTTTCACAAGAATAAATTACGTTTGCTATCAGTATTCCTAATTAAAAAGAGTTCATAAAGCTTGTTAGCAAACAAGCAGGTTCTCTCCTACACTATTCTACTTTTTTTTTTTTTCTTATCTAAAACAGTGTTTCGGAAGCCCATGTACGAGTATCGTAACTCCATCTACATCATTAATTAATAATAATATTAATTTCTAGTAAATTTAGCAATAATAAGCTTTGTGATCGAATGCATATAAACTACCTTAGTACGTAATTATCGTACATTAGGAGGCACCTCTATTTTAATATATTTTATATTTAAATTGCAATAATATAAGATTTATACTTTATGATATTAACTATATTGTGGCATCAATACGGTAATATACTTTCGAACCCATCGTATCAATCATTGCTAGTCAACCAATATCAAGATCAAATTCAGCATTTGTAGTGAAAGCTATCCTTGAATATTTAACAATGCTAATACTTCCAATATCTAATTGATACTAAGAACTCCTGCTCAAGCTAATTCTGTTACCGTTGACGATATGACTGTGTATTTGATAAAAAATATCACCAGATTTAACAAAAATCGCAATTTAAATTTAATTAATATGCAAATAAATTTAAAGCAAATTTATATTCTCTCATTGAAATACTATTGTAAACATGAATGCCTTATTCTTTTTCCTATCCTTAAAGGCCGTTTAGAGTAACAAAATTTAAGTTTTAAGTACATCAAATAATTCGATATTGGAGTTTAGTTATTAACTGCTCAAATGATCTAATCGGTTCTGTAACAATTTGAAATGCATCAAACATATTAATTGAATTCACTTGATCGTGGCAATGCGAAAAACTTTGAGATTTTTTAGATTCAAGATAAATGCTAGTAAACTGCTCCATTATTATGATTAGTTGTTGGTGGTACTAATGTACTCAATTGTTACTTTCCGGTCTGAGCCGCGAATGCAACCATATTTACTTTCAAGTTAATGATATTACAGAAAGTAAGCTAGTTAAAAAGCCTTGTAGAAATATTACATACCTGATTGATTATGTAATTGTGTAAAATAGTCCTACATAAAGAACTGCGTATATTCATATCGTCTATAAATAAGCCAGATATTACATAGTAATATATACGTTACTGGCGGCGTCAAACTAATATTTAAAGTCAGCATTAATAATATTTGTACAAACAAAGAGATGAAGCTATTCTCTAATAATTTATTCCAGATTCGAGAGCTCAAACTCTAAATTTAACATCTTTACTTTAGGTCTGCCCTATCGTATATAATATATTATTAAAGGAATAAAAGATTAAAATTAAAACGTTTAAATAGCAAAACTGTAAACAATAGAAGCTCTTTGTTTCCAATCGAAGTTGCTTACATTTTAGATTGAAATTAAATAATATTGTGTTATGATTTAAACGATCTTTACTTAGTGATTTTTAGTTGTATGATCTACAAATAGGATTGTGTTTTACATTCTATTAGCGCCGCAAAGATTGAGTCATGAATATCTCCAGTAACATTTCTAACCAAGAAAAAAACTATTACAGTCTTATTAACATCTACGCTTCTGCCGCGTCTATTCCTGTTTTATTTATAGGATTTATTGTTAATGTCTTCGTACTTTATGTCATCTGTAATAATAGTTGTTTTTATAAAACTCCATATTATTTAATTCGTATTTCTCTCATTTCTGATATCATAGCTACGTTGATAGGTACTACATCATTTTCGATCCTCGTTATGGCTCATATTGACTATACCCTAGGATCGTATATGTGCCGAATATTTTTCTATATTATCCAATGTTCTTACACTCTTTCCATATTTACTTTATGTATTATCAGTATTGATCGATATTTTGTGATTGTTAAACCGTTTTCGAAGTTCTATTCGAATCATAGGCGAAATCTATTAATATCAATGGTAATACTTGCCTTGATACTTTCTATAATTTTAAGTATTCCAACAATATTTTACAACGACGTATATCCAGATGATACGGTGGTATGCGACATGGTCCATATCAACTCTTCCGCGATAGCATCCCTCATCGCCAATATTATCATAATTTACTTTTTACCTACTATTATTTTATTATTTATGTATGGCAGCATATTCAAGCATCAACATAACTATGTTAGACCTGGAAATATTTCTGTCCTCACTAGAATTAATTTGCACGAGAAAAAAAAAAAATTTAATCAAGTTTTGATTGCCACTGCTGGATCTTATCTATTGATAACATGGCCATACTTTGCAACTGGGATGGCTATGGCCATAACAAAAAAATCACTACGACAGATGGGAGATGAAAATCTGGTATATTATGTGCTTTCGTTTGTGTCATATTCCACAACAGTTGGTATTTCCGTGATAAATCCATTTTTATATCTGAAATTTGATTATAATATTAAGAAGAAATCTCGATATTACCTACGAAAGTATATCCCACGAAAGACCACCACCGAATATCGCCGACGATTCATTCTAGTATCTGCAAAGATGTACACTTATTAATGCTAGATTATATTTCTAGCTCAATATAAAATTAATGGCTAAATATAAAGTAATAGCTAGAGAAATAAGTGTAAGTGTTCAGTAGTATATTGTACTTTAGTTGATTATATGCTTGATTGATGCACAATTAAGACCTGTAGTACACTACTGTATATAATATCATGTAGCGTTAGGTTTAGTAGTTAGTCGATCTGAAGACAAGTGACAGTCGTGATAAAGTGTAAGAGCGTAAGTTGCAAGTTTGAGAATTTTAAGAATAAGTTAGAAGGTTGAAAGTATTGAAATCGAGAATCGGTAATTTAAATAAAAATAAGTTATATTAATAGAATCATGTATGTGTGTCTCGCAGTAGTATAACCGGAGCCCCGTAGGAATTTCCCTAGTAGTTTGGATACTGGGATACAGTATTATAAAAGTGTGGCAAAGATATTGCCTACTGTAACTGTAATATACTATAGAAAATTGCTGCAAGTGGTACATCTACTCATGGATCACTAGAAATATACCTGGTATTCTTCTAGTAGTTCATGACCTACTAAAGGTTAAAACATTGTCTTTTTATATAGTTTTTGTATTTTCACATACATTAATAATTATAATTTATAATTTATTGATAATACGCGTAATTTAATTTAGATGAAATAATTGAGATGAAAATTGAATTATTGGTGCTGCAATCTAAATTTCATAGAAAAATTAACCATTAGCGAATGAAATGACTCGACTGCCTTCAATTAAAAATGTGACTAGCTAGATATTCAAATCTGAAACAATAGATGCCATGTGAAGGTTAATAAAATTCAATCTCACGATTGGTAATATCGAATTTTAAATACCCTCATTTATTCTTAGCGAAGGCATAGACTAAAAGTATGTTAGTAAACCATAGCTATGGCAATCTTTGCGTGGCTTTAATTATAAACTTCCGTCACCGTATGTCACAAAACAGCTTTGCAACAAGATAACGCAATATACGATCAATAAGTCAATTCCTTGAACCACGTATCAAGGAACGATATCTGTACTATCACAAACACTTTTGCTCTACTAGCAGACTACACAAAGACTTAAACGCCTCGTATTTTACGTTAAACACTAAGTTGGAGAATTCTCTTTATTTCACGATATACTGCATTTATATACTACTCCTCAATAGTTCATGAGTCATAGTTAATACAATTAACATTGGAATCATTTACTGAATTAGTGCCACAAAACAGCTTTGCAACAAGATAACGCAATATACGATCAATAAGTCAATTCCTTGAACCACGTATCGAGGAACGATATCTGCACTATCACAAACACTTTTGCTCTACTAGCAGACTACACAAAGACTTAGACGCCTCGTATTTTACGTTAAACACTAAGTTGGAGAATTCTTTTTTATTTCACGATATACTGCATTTATATACTACTCCTCAATAGCTCATGAGTCATAGTTAATACAATTAACCTCGGAATCATTTACTAAATTAGATATTAATTATAGCTACTGCTCCCTTAATGCAGACAACAGTATTTACAAACATAGACATGTAATGACTAATACAGAATAGTCAGATTACGATATGTCCTATCACGGAACATTTCCATTATAATTTACAATCTACCATAAGTAAATTACAATCACAATGATTCGAACTGTAAGTAGATGATTTGCATTCCCTATTATAACTATTAATTTCAGTATGTGTATAAGTGTCACTGTCATAAAAAGTCAGTGCTATATTAAAATACAGTATATCCAAATTAGAAGTTAACTAAATAAGGATAGTCTCACAGAATTATCCTAACATAGATATTTCTACTGTAATACAGTATTTAACACTGTAACACCGTACGATCATCGACAATAACTTATTACATAAGAGTACGATATCCGCTTCGATAAAGAAAAAGGCTTCTCGCAGATTTTTACGAATGACTATATGAATCAAGACTCTAAACAAATAATTAAAACTCAAGTGACAACGACGAATTCTCATCATTTTCATTGAAAATTTATGTTTTGGTAAGAAAATAATTGGCAGTTTTCTCCATTTGCTCAATACTAAATTATGATTGCAGGTTACAGTATTACAATTATCTTTTGACTAACATACGTTTATTTCACAATTTACAGTTAAATGGATTTTTTATGATATATCAATTTAAAATTTCTATATTACCCATTGTATTCACTAGAAATGCGTGAAAATATATAGTTATTAAACTTATAATTATTATCACGTTTATATCATAATAGACAGTTGCATTCTTGACATCAATCGTTTTATCTTGATTTACTAAAAACTGGTTCGGTTTCTATTGTACACCACAATATTAAGATAAAGATAGATATTTATTGCTACTGCTGGGATAGGCATCTCGAATTTTTTGTTCTGTATAATGATATCCAGATGTTAATAGCAATTAACGGTGATAAGTATTTGATTTGTGCGACAACTATAAGTTTCTACTCAATTGTGATAAGGCAACGAAAAAATCGTTAATTATTTAACTTATATATAAAGTTATGTTTCTGAATTGTAAAAGTAATCAAAAAATCGCTTAACACAGTACTCGTAGAGCAACGAGTAGAATAATGTTATGTATATAGATTGCTAGTAAATATTTAATGCATTTTCCGGTAAAGGAAAGTGAATTAGCTAGATACTTAATTTATAGGAAAGCTCAAGAGTCAGATCGTGTTCTGATCATTGTTAATTAATCTCCAGTTATATGGATGCTTAACGTATACTAAAGTAGAGCTTAAAATTTTACTAATTTAGATCTAAAAATATACGGCACAGCTGACAAAGTTTATTAGTGTTCAGATTTCTGTTTGCACTCTGTAGCAACTAGCAGATCTAGTTAGAAAATATAAAAATGGGTTACTTTTATAGTAAAGAGAGTTCTAGAATTGATCCTAGAAAAGACTAGTGTCAGTGCTTAACCGCTGTTGGAGGTAGTAGCTGTCTTACAAGAGTGGTTGTAACATGGCTACAAATATAGAATAGAAAATAATGTAGGTTCCGACTCAAATAACCTAAAAAGCTCCTCCTAAAATTTAAATTTCTTAAAAATTGTTCAATTATTCAATATCAAAGTAAGATGTAGTATAAAAAATTGATCCTACACTTAATAGGGCTAAAATATATTCATTATGCGGAACAGAAATCATTTGATTTAAAAAAAAGTTACAACAGGAAAGTATCGCTGTCTCAAAACAGCTTTGCAACAAGATAACGTAATCTACGATCAAAAAGTCAATTCCTTGAACTACGTATCAAGGAACGATATCTGCACTATCACGAGCACTTTTGCTCTACTAGCAGACTACACAAAGACTTAAACGCCTCGTATTTTACGTTAAACACTAAGTTGGACAATTCTTCTTTATTTTACGATATACTGCATTTATATACTATTCCTCAATAGTTCATGAGTCATAGTTAATACAATTAACATTAGAATCATTTACTGAATTAGATATTAATTTTAGCTACTGCTCCCTTAATGCAGATAACAGTATTTACGAACATAGACATGTAATGACTAATACAGAATAGTCAGATTACGATATGTCCTATCACGGAACATTTCCATGATAACTTACAGTCTACCATAAGTAAATTACAATCACAATGATTCGAACTGTAAGTAGATGATTTGCATTCCCTATTATAACTATTAATTTCAGTATGTGTATAAGTGTCACTGTCATAAAAAGTCAGTGCTATATTAAAACACAGTATATCCAAATTAGAAGTTAACTAAATAAGGATAGTCTAACAGAATTATCCTAACATAGTTATTTCTACTGTAATACAGTATTTAACACTGTAACAATCGCACTTTCGTATTTTATAATAAATTACTTATAAACTTTGTCTGGCACGATAAGTTCTTTTTAATACGAATCATTTTGTTTTACCATAGATTTTATTGACTATAATAAGCCTATAATAACTTTCAAACAGACTAATGACTGTTTGACATTATGACTTCAATTATAGCCTAGCCAGCCTATGCATATTTGTAAAAGCAGTCGATAGCACATAGTTACGAAACTTGAATTCTAAGCCTTTGTCAAATTACTTAAAATTTTGAAAGTAATACAACCATACATGCTATAAATTAATTAACATTTTGTACTGTAGATGGCATCCTTTGCTAATTACAAGTCGTTAAACATTAAAGCTGAAAAGTAAACATGGGTCCTGTATCTGTGAAGACGCATATTAAAGCTATTTTAATTCTGCATTCTAAATAGGATAGCAGCTTTGCTTGGAATGCCAGTAAAAATAAGATCATGAATGTTTCCGGTAGCATTTCTAATAACACCTTCAGAAATGGAACGAACAATTACGATATTATTAGGACTATCGCCGCTCTTGCTACTTTCCCTTCTTTAATTATTGGATGCATTGCAAATATCTTTGTATTTCGTATTATCACTTATGATCGTGATTTCTATAAGCCCACATATTATTTAGTTCGTATTTCTATTATTTCTGACACTGTTGTTACATTATTAGGTTGTGTAGCAGTTTTAGTCGGCGATACTGTTAAGATTAGTTATGCTCTAGGTTCTAGTTTTTGCCGACTATTTCTCTACACCATATTAAGTTCTTACTCCGTATCTATATTTACTTTATGCATAATAAGTATTGATCGATATTTTATAACTTTAAAACCCTTTTCGAGATTTTATTTGCGTTATAAAAGAAAATTCTTAACTTCACTAGTATTATGTGCCGTATTAATGTCAGTTACTATAAATATTCCAGTAATATTTTATGTTGATGTCTATCCTGATGACCCCGGGCTATGCGATTTTGTTAGTATTGATTCTTTCGCAAGAGCATTTCTGATGACAGCTATCATCACAATGTACATCGTACCAACTATTATTTTACTATTCACATATGGCAGTATATACTGGCATCAATATAACCATATTAGACCTGGAAATATTTCTGAACGAAGTCAAAAAGATGAGCAAATGAAAAGGAAAAAATTCACTAAAGCTTTAATTACTATAACTGCATCTTATTTATCGATAACATGGCCATTCTTTGCTATTGGAGTAGCTATAATCATAACAGGAAAATCACTACGAGATATAAAAAATGAAAATGCTACGTATTATATTCTTTCTTTCTTATCATTTTCTACAACCCTTTTCATATCAGTATTAAATCCATTTTTGTATCTGAAATTTGACTGCAATATTAAGAGAAAGGCTTGGCTTTACATCCAAAAGTACTTCTTGTACAAGAACACTTCTAAACTACGAATAATAGCCAGCTAAATACCAAAACTTATAAAGACCGACGTTAAATAAAGTACGATCAAAATTTTTGTTTTATGTTTCATTATTAGAATAATAAATTTTGACCTCGTTAGATTGCTATTAAATTATAGCATATACTCACTAATTAATGCTTAATTGGGCAGATTACAAGTCGAAGCTAAGCTATGTCAGTTGCAACAAGCTGTAAAATATTTAACTAATTACTTGCATTAGGTCAAGTGAAACATAAATATAATATGTACTTGGAAATTAAGTTTTCAACTTTCACAAGGATAATCTTTTTGTTTACTTTTATTCATAAATTATACTATCCATGTACAGTATGTATTTAAGAAATATAAATATGCAAGTCACACAGCATACACCAGTTGCTAATTAGCTGTATTATCGTACATTTAATTGTGCCTAATTCATCTCTTGCTAGAATAGCTAGCTAGCTGCAAATCATAGTAATATTTGATTACAACTATTAAGCAACCATGATGCCTCGCTTTGAAGCGAATTTCATCCTATTCAGCTTTGTAACCTAACATAAAACCACTTTAAAGTAATATTGGCTTACATTTATTTACAGGCTGAACTCGATGTCGGCATTTTCAATATAATCGAACTATATACGTAGCATATATATTCTTTACCAACGGTGTCTTAAAAATCTGCTCCATGTTTTTATTTGATAATATTGACCTGTATTGCTAACTGTATTCCCAATATCAAACCTGATTACACAATTCATAAAGTCAGTATTCTTTCTGATACTAATAATACACTGAAATACATTACATACCCTCAGAACTTCGTCATAAATTTATGAACACCACATTTAATGCACTATCGCAGAATGCATGCTATACCGCTTAAAAATGTAGGATACAATACACTTACATCTACAGTATAGTTAAAGAACATGCACTAAAAGTAGAACAGGTCTACGTAGTATTAATTAATCAAGCAACAACCCTGAGGACAATCTCAAATAAGATTTTGCAATAATTCAGCCAAACGTTGTTAACTGCTAATTATATTCGAAACTATTTCAAAAGCTGAGGCTTAAGGATTAAATAGTACACATGTACTATTGTATTACTTGTAATGTACTCCTCATAATGAATATTATTTGCAATATCGTTTACTTCGAAAAGAGCATCTCCTGATAGATTTTTTTCATAATACGTAAGGTATTTGTTACTTCATCTCTTATTCATTATCTCAACTTATAGAAACATCACGTTTACATGCATCAGAGCATAGTTCATATATATTGATGTTATTTAATGATTCCCAGCTAAATAAACGTCTGAATGGAACCATTCAATGCTTAATTAAAGCTACCAATTCTCCATGATGACAACAATAGTTAATTCCTACCATGGTAAATTATCCTCTTACATATAAATTTCTAAACTAATATGCTATTTAAATCATCACATCACTTCTATTCCTAACCTTTAAATCAAGCTGTTCATTTGGAATCATCGAGAGGTCCCTAAAACACTCTATTAAGTTAACTACTAGTCGTATTTATGTGCATGTTTCTTAAAATTGAATATCTTGATGCTCCTTCTACTCATGAAGCCCAATTAGCTTTCATTTACTATAACCATCAACCTTAGTTAGATTTTATAATATCATCGTTAAAGATGCAACTCTATAAGACGTAAAATCTTGCGACTTAATGGGCAAGATAAGATTTGTTACAGTAAAAGCATTCTGTAACTAATCGTATATAAATCGTGAATTTTGCTGTAATAAGTAGATTGTCAGATAGTCAGATAGTCCTTGGTAGTTAGACGAACCTAACTTCTGTTGTTCTTGATTTATTGTTTCGAAGATCACTTTATCACAGTGTTATTTAACGGATTTTACTTAATAAGGTGATATTTTTATTACGTGATAATAGATTGCAGATACGATCAAAACTGGTTAAAATTAAAAAGCTATTCCAGACATACCATACTGTGCAGTGCTAGTTCACTATAGCCAAGTTTATTGCATGAGAGACGGCTAAAACACTTAACATCAATTACTCCTTTTGACATAGAGGCACTGTAATAGCATGAATTAGAGAGAACAATTTCTGAAAACTTGATGATGAATTAATCGACGTTATGATGAGCGCTTTCAGGCTAAAACCAAAGATCTTTGCTACAAAATATATTATAAATCGCGTAAAACTGAAAAAATAACAGTTACAATCAATATCTATTTAATGATGTGGAAGGTAGTATAGAGGTTTTAGTAAGCCTTACAGAAATTATCGCTAATGGAGACTGATTTTAATGAAATCTTAAAATAGAAATGATACTATTACAAAGTAACAAAGATTAATGACGTACGGTATGAATGTAATAGAGTAAAATATATCATGGTCCTCCTATTGTAGTACCTGAAAAGTTTTAAAGGTAGTTTATTCAATGTATTCAAATTATTCTACGTATGGATGTTACAATTCAAAATTTGTAACGAGAAAAAAGGTACTATTACAGAATATTAACATCATGAGCTCACTGTCAGGTTTGTCCTCCCTGATGTCTACCTACATTACGATTCTAAATACTGAACAGTAACACGTATAACGTCATAGGTAACGGTATTTCAACAAATACCAAAGCATATTATCTGATGAAAATAAGGTAACAATTAGTTAGGGTAAGTCACTTTGAGACAATCAGTAATAATAGTCCCTTATGAAATCATCATAATTTTAAGTAAAATGCTTTTATCACTATTATATTGTATTTGTTTTGACAGTAATTTCAAAAAATAAAATTATATTGATGTTGTCGTTGTAAGTTTGTGTTTGAACTGGATAAAATATTGTTTTATTTTCCCAGTAAAGTTTATTGTCAAACAATCATCACCAGACAAGTATTACAAATGACAAATTTATCTAATTATTCATCTACGTAATAAATAGTTTTTCTATTTTTATTATTTTAGCTTAATTTAAATTCATTATCTTTATCATATCATTAATTAAATTAATTAAAATTGCTGGAATTAAACACTTATCCGTAACTTCCAGTTACATCTTTCATACAATTCACTTTTGGTCGACCAACGAGTTTACTGTTATGTTTGATTCCTTCGTGTATGGATGAGTATGAAATTATAGTTTTGAAACGAATCGTTCACATAACATCTCAAATTAACTTCATATACTGAAAATAACACATACTTGTCGTGGAATCATTGTAATTATTAAGTGCATCAGCTAATTGGCTGGTATTTGTACTTCGACTACGACGAAATCATTCATTCAATATATTCATGAATAACTCTAGTAATCATGATCATAAAAGCATATTTTCTACCATTAATGGTTATGCAGTCATAGCAGCTATTCCAGTTTTAACAGTCGGAATACTGGCGAATATTTTCGTGCTGTATGTAATCACTAAAGATTCATATTTTTACAAGGTGACGTATTATCTAATTCGAGTAACGATTATTTCTGATATAATATCAACCTTTACCGCGGTTCTTGGTTTCACATTTATAACTGCCTTCGACAATAGTTATATCGTTGGTGGCTATCTATGTCGAATCTTTTTCTATATTGTGGTAACTTCCTATACGGTATCAGTTTTTACCTTGTGCATGATAAGCGTCGATAGATACTTTGCCATTATAAAACCGCATTCACAGTTGTACAGGAAGCACAAGAATCGATTTCTTGTGATAGCACAAATTGTTTCAGTTATTATTGCCATCGGAATTAATTTACCTGCTGCTTGGTTTAATAATGTATATCCTGATGACACAGAACTTTACGATTATGCTAATGTTAATCTACAACAATCTATATATTTAATATCCATGGCAATCGTTATGTACTTAATTCCTTCAGGAATTTTGATATTCTGTTATGGTAGCATTGTTAATCATCAAATACACTACGTTAGGCCAGGCAATATAACAAATGCTAACCGAGAAGACGACCAACTTAGAAAGAAAAAATCTATAAAAGCTCTAATTATTATCACGGCATCATTCTTGTTGAGCACCTGGCCTTTCTTTGCTACTGACATTGGCATGGCTATTACAGGCAAATCAATGCGGCAAATCGGAAAAAGTCATATAATTTTGTATATTTTAGCATTTGCTTCATTTTCGTCAACAGTGGGCATTGCTGTGATCAATCCATTTTTATGTTTACAATTTGATCAAAATGTTAGAAAAAAATCCTTAAAAATTTTAAGAAAACTAATGCATTACAAACACAATTTAGTTCAAGAAATTAATCGTGATGCAGTAGTAACTGGCCATACAAATGCAGTTCAGCCGAACAGGTTTATTCTTTATAATTCTCCTAGTGAAGATATTCTGCTCTGAACTTAATTTAATTATCGCTAGCCCAGAAAAAAATGAAAGTAGGGTAGCGTTATTTCGATATAATATCACAAAATTTATTTGTTTTCAGCCAATAATGAAATTTTCCCAGATGCCTTTATGCTATTTAAACGAGGCCATTTAGTTTTAAAATCCTATAGAACGTTTACTAACTTATAACTACTTTTCCACGAGATTTATGTAAAGATTAGAAAGCTTAACGACATTTACTGAGCAACTTACTGCAAAAAGGATGGCAGCAAAATTGTTTATTGTGTTGTTCTGTTCTTACTGATTTCTTGAAATATATAATAATTTCTTGTGAATAACAATGAAATAATTGCTTGTTTCATTTATTAACTTTGTCTCTTTCTACCTGGTTTAACATTTACTATTGTAAGTAAGTGTAGTGTATTTTGATTGTACTGTTACTGTAATCTACTCTTAAATATAGATATTTTGTATTGCTATTAAATACAGACACATTTACAGTTTGTTCGCTCTACATTCAAATATGGCTTACTACATTTAGTTATTACAGTCCTTGCTATTTTCTACTATCATCTGCTATTCTATAACCTGTTATGGTATATTTTATATCTAATCCTACAATCATGTTTTTTGCATGTGTTCTAATGCTGTAACTATAAATACCGCCGTTTCCT